ACTACTATCTACTACTACTACTACCGACTACTACTACTACTACTACTACTACTACTACTACTACTACTACTACTACTACTACTACTACTACTACTACTACTACTACTACTACTACTACTACTACTACTACTACTACTACTACTACTACTACTACTACTACTACTACTACTACTACGACTACTACTACTACTACTACTACTACTACTACTACTACTACTACTACTCCTACTCCTACTCCTACTACTACTCCTACTCCTACTCCTACTCCTACTCCTACTCCTACTCCTACTCCTACTCCTACTCCTACTCCTACTACTACTACTACTACTACTACTACTACTACTACTACTACTACTACTACTACTACTACTACTACTACTACTACTACTACTACTACTACTACTACTACACAAAGGACGAGGCAGGTGGTGCTCGTTTGGGAACTGCCCCCCGGGGCGGCCCCTCCACGAGGCCCACGAGCTGGCCGCGGGCCTCTCGCGCGGCAAGGGGCAGCGCGCGGAGGGGTTGCGCGGGAGGGGGAGGCAAAAGGCATCGGGCTGGTGTTCAGAGGGGGTGACCTCAGGAGGGGGAAAGGGGCCCGAAGGGGCCCTAAAGGGTCCCCATTGGACCCCCACTAGCCCCAAAGAGCCCCTTTGGGGCCCCTGTTTCATTCGGGCGGAGAAAGAGTCCCCAAAGGGCCCCTCTGGGGGCCTTTGGGTGGAGAAGGGGCCCCCAAAGGCCCCCTTTGGGGCCCCCTCTGGAGGTCACCCGGCCCCCTTTGACACCTGCCCGAGGGCAACGGGGACGCCTGGACCAGCCCAGGCCTCCTCGGGGGCTCGGCGTGGACGGGGTGACCCCCGGTCTCTGCTCCTGCCTGGACGCTGGGGTTGGGCCATGGGGCCCCCCTCGGCGAGGAAGGGGCGCCTGGGGATCGGTGCATCCCCCCCCCTGAGCCCATCCCCCCCGAAAGTTCCCCCTGAGGCCCTCCCTTCTCCAGGGGGGCAGGGGAAGGCGCGCGAGCAGCAGCGCGGGGGCAACAACGAGCAGCACGCGACCACGGCTGTTTTCAACAGGGCTCGACCGAAACAGTGTTTTCCGCTGTCTGCTTGTTCTCGTTGTCCCTCCCTCCGTCTTCGTTCCGCCTCTGCTGCAAAACAAGATCGAAGCGAAAACGGTACCCGAATTCGCCGAAAACACCGTTCAATTCGAGCCCTGACGCTGGAAGACAAGACGACGGTTATTTCTCGGGGGTGGGCAAAGGTATCCCTGGCCCAAGGTGTCCAGAAGGGCGAACCAGCGGAAGGCTCGGATTCGGACCTTCAGGAGCTGTAGGCTCCCTGATTATGTTCGATTGTGTTTGTGTTAGGCTCGTGCGGCTTTGACGTACGGTCCGCTCCAGCGAAGCGAAGCGAAGGATTTCAGGAGTGGCCCAGATGGCCTCCAGAGCACCCCTTACAAGGCCCCGAGGGCCACAGGGGCTCCTAAATGGCGGGAAAAGCTGAGCACACTCAGAGAGGACCACTTCGAGCAACACCCATGTTTCCCCACGTTCGGCCTCCAGGGGACTAGCCAGCCTCGAGCTTATCCATACCCCCCAGATTGGCAAGCCCAAATGCGATGGCAGTCTTGGAGATGCGCCCTCAGGAACTGAGGTGATCATTGAGATCGGCGCCGAGACAAGGTGATGCCAATCATAGGGATAGGGGTAAGTGTATGGCTGGTAACTAAAGGGAGAGGGGAGAGAGTGGGGACAAGAAAGAAACTCAAGAAACTGGTGGATGCCAACATTATCTCGGTATACAGCAGCGTTTATGAAAACCACTGTGAACAATGTCTGGGCCAAGAGCTGCGGTACGAGAAGCTAGCTGACACTACAGATCTGACCCTCGCCGTATTATTATGGATATGATGCCGTAAACCCCAAGGGTGGGAATCGCGAGAACATTTGGAACAATTTACAGGGGCAAATCCGAAGACAGTGGAAGAGAATGAAAACAAAAAGAAGCAAAAGAACGCAAGTGGAAACAAAACTGAACTAAGTCGGATCAACCAGAAGTGCAAGCAAAAAGCAGCGCGTGATCGCATGTGGAAGCAAGTCGGGGCCAGTGGGGACAAATGGAAGCAATAAAGAGAACATGGACGCGCGTGTAAAGTAGTGAGCCCAACCGGAAGCAAGGACAAGCGGACACTCGGGGCTAGAAGCGGCCAACCGAATTCCGCCAAATCAAAAGAACTATGACCCTCGCCAGTATGACAGAATATGCATGAAGCATAAACAAGGCCAAAGAACAGGTAAAGGCAAACTAATCCAGTCCACGCTGAGGATAGCACAACAATAAACGATCTTGAAGTTCGTCTAACAACGACTGCGAACGATCCCCAACAGGAAGAATCCACCCAGCCAAGGGACACTCGAAAGCTGAGCTGCTGGTTCTATGTTCATCGTTGCCGTCCAAGCACCCACAAACGACCCTAAAGACTCTGCGCAGACAACCCAGCGAGCTTCCGAGATGGCTCCAGAAACGTCCAGGAAGCCTCAACTAAATCTTGGAAACGATAGAACGATGCTCTCCAACGTCCAACTTCGTCTCCCTGGCTTGAGATGGCACCAAGGAGCTCGAAATGGGCCCCCCTGCCTCACTACAAAACCCTTTTCCCCCCACGGCGGCTCCCAGAATTTCAGCATTGCCACGAGAAGCTCCCGTGAAGCCAAATGGTCGCCACAGGCAGCGTCGCCGATGCCCCAAGACTGCTGAACGCTCACATTCGCTTCAAAGAACCTCCAGACGACCGTCGCGAGGAGGCTCCCCAATGCTCAGCACAATCCTGGCCGACTGCAGCTGTGCTATCTGTCAGTCACGCGCGGAACTGCCCGTCGAGCTACAGCCGTGGTTCGAGGTGGCTCCCAGACGTGCCCAGCGACCCTGGCCGGGCTCCCCGGCACGTGCCTGGACCACGGAAACACACGCCCACGCAGGACGCCTGGCATGCTGGGCATGATTGGCGGAGCTGGGCGCTCACGTGGTGCTTGTCTGGTTAGGGCCCAGTTGTCTGTCGCTCCAGCTGGGTCGGCGGCAAGGCTTCCTGGTGGGCGTGCCCCTGTGCCAGGGGCGGTTGCCGCGGTGCCCGCGATGCGCCAGCCGCCACGTCTTGGCCCCCGCCTCGGGCCCTTCGCAGAAAACCAGCCACGGCGAAGAGGCAGCCTGCACGGCCGCGGTGCGGCGCAGCACGGCCCGCTGCGCGGCGCGCATCTCCCGCCGCGGCTCGCTGGCCAGCAGGCGCTCGACTCCGCACCTCCTCCCCACGGGAGCCCAGGGACCAGCCCGCAGATGCGCCTTCTGGGCGACGAAAAACAGCACTGGGCTTACGCGAGGAAGCATAGCGACCTGAAGCCGCGGCTCGCGCGGGCCGCCAGCGTGGCACACCGCGTGGAGAGGAGGACGCATACACGAGGCCTTACACGGGAAGCTTACGCGCGAATGCCAGCGCAGTCAACCCCGCTTTGTTTCCGTCGCGCAGGCGGCCCACCTTTCGCCAGCGGCAGAACTGCCACTCCTCGTTGATGCGGCGGGCTGTGGCATATCCCGCCTCGAGGATCTTGAAGACGGCTCTGTGTTTCTTCCGATAAGCTCCGTAATGCTTCGCACGAGCACCAAGAAGCCCTACACTGGCCCGAAGGCATCAAAGAGGCACCCAGCGCGGCTCGCAAGAGCGCGTGCCCGACTGCGTCTCTCAGGCCGTGATTGCCAAAAGCGGTCCCAGGAAACTTCGAGACGGCTCCAAGAAAGGATGTTGCTAACACGTGGTCCTGGCCCAGCGTGCCTCCAGCATCCCGCGCCACTTTGGATCCCCCGGGGCCTCCCTGGGCCTCGTCAGGGGTGCTCTAAAGACCACCTAAAACTCCCTAAAAATCCTAAAAACATCCTAAGACAAAAACACCACTAACTTTCAACCTAAAACACCGGACGCGACGGGGCTGGCGGGCCAGGCGCCGAAGCCTCGAGAGAGCGCCGCGGGACCTGGGGGGCCGCCCTGCCCGGGAAGAAGTCGCAGGCTGCGCCGCCGGAAAACATTTACATCCACTGCTGGTGGAGGCCGTGCCCTCCATATCAATACGTCAACTCACGATCTCAAGCCTGCGAGTGGGATAGCTGGTCTTCGCTGTCGCTCTGGGTGAGCTTTCGGCGACCACGTCGCCACCTTCACACTGGCCCGAGTGGAAGCGGCCATGGCCCTCCCTCCTGCCAGCACGCGCGCGCAGGAGCACCGAGGGGAGGCGAAGGGGAGGCTGCTGCCGGACTGCGCCACTCCGCTTCCAGGAGCCGGCGCCGGGCATGAGAGAAGCTGGCGTCCCTGGGCATGGCGGGCAGGAGCAGCTCTCCGCCCTCGGTCAGGGACGCCCAGGAGGGGGGCGTCCAAGGGGGGGGGGTCGCAAAGCATGGCCCGAGGCACGTGCGCGGCCCAGGGGGGCCAGGAGACGTATTGAAGGAAGAGAGGGGTGTCATCAGATCTGGGGGGTGTCATGGCACCCGCCATGAGATTCACCAACCCCTTGGTCATCTCCCCCCTCGTGGCCGTCCCCCGACTCAGGGGCGGGCAGACATGCATATCCACCACTCCCTGAGAGGCACTCGAGGGCCTGGGGCACGACTCCGACGCGGTAATATGGATACTGCGCGCTTCGTGCGCGCTGATCGCCACGTCTGTCTTGCAAGTGCTTCGAACCGTTTGAAATATTATTCGCGCTCCTTCTCCCTCGGGCTCCTCCCTCCCACTCGCTGCCCCTTCATTCTCGCTCTTCTCTCCCATGGAACAATTTTTGGAAAGGCCTCAGAGGCACACCGGAAGAGAACAGGAGAGGTCTTCAAAAACCCATGGCCCTCCATAGGCTTTTGAAGGATTTGGGCGTCCTGGGGGCCTTTGGGAGGCCTCTCGGGAGCCTCTTAACGGCTTCCTGGGCCCGTCTGGGGGTTCTCTTGAACTGTCTTGGCCATCTGGAGGCCATGTTGGGCAGTCCTGGCGGCCTCGGGGGCCGTCCTGAAGCCTTCTTAGGCCGTCTCGGGGTGGAAGGGTCGCGGGGGCCCACGTCGACCGTCTTGGGGCTCCTTCGGGCTCCTGTGGGGCGCTCTTGGCCCGTATCACGCTTTCGGAAGCCGTCTGGGGGAGTAGGGCAATTTTGGAGGTACCGGAATGAGCTCTCTCCGACTGCCCACCGGGGCGTGGGGGAATCGGCCAATTGGGGAGTCGGCCAGCCAGAAAAGTGGAGAGTCGGGACGTCGGCCAGTCGGGGGGTCGGGGGGCCAGGGAGTCGGGGAGTTGGGAAGTCGGCCAGTCGGGGACTCAAGGGTACGGTGGGTCGGCCTATCAGGGAGTCGGCCAGTCGGCCAGTCGGGGAGTCGGGGAGTCGGCCAGTCGGCCAATCGGCAAGTCGGGGAATCGGGAAGTCGGGGAAACGGCCAGTCGGGAACTAAGAACTCGGCCAGTCGGGGAGTCGGGGAGTCGGCCAGTCGGAGAGGCGTTGAATCGGGGAGTCGGCCAAGTGGGGTCGGCCAAGTGGTGAGTCGGTCAGTCGGCCAGTCGGGGAGTCGGGAGTCGGGAAGTCAGGGGGTCGGGGAGTCGGGGAGTCGGGAGTCGGGAAGTCGGGGAGTCGGGGAGTCGGCCAATCGGGGGGTCAGGAAATCGGCCAGTCGGCCAGGCGGGAAGTCGGGGGGTGGTGAAATTGGTGAGTCGGGAGTCGGCCAGTCGGGGAGTCGGGGGCCCAAAGGAGTCGGGAACTCGGGCGTTGGCAAGTCGGGGAGTCGGGGAGTCGGCCAGTCGGGGAGTCGGGCGTCGGCCAATCGGGGACTCGGGAAGTCGGGGAGTCGGCCAATCGGGGAGTCGGGGAATCGGCCCATCAGGAAGTCGGGGATTTGGACAGTCGGGAAGTCGGGGAGTCGGCCAGTCGGGGACTCGGGTGGTCGGGGAGTCGAAAAGTCATGGGAATCGGGAAATCGGCAAGTTGGTCAATCAATAAGTCGGGGAGTCGGAAAGTCGGGAAGTCGGGGAGTCGGGGAGTCGGTGAATCGGCCAATCGGTGAGTCGGGGAATCGGCCAGTCTGGCAGTCCAGAAGTCGGGGGGTCGGGGAGTCGGGGAGCCGGAGCGTCGGGGAGTCAAAGGAGTCGGCCAGTCGGATGTCGGGGAATCGGCCAATCGGGGAGTCGAGGAATCGGCCAGTCGGCCAGTCGGAATGTGGTCGGGGAGTCGGAGAGTCAGCCAGTCGGGGAGCTGGTGAGTCGGTGAGCCCGGGAGTCGGGGAGTCAGAAAAGTCGGGGAGTCGGCCAATCGGGGAGTCGGGGAATCGGCCAGTCGGGAAATCCGGGAATCGGGAGTCGGCCAATCAGGGAAAATCGGAGAGTCGGAAAGTCGGGGAGTCGGGAAGCGGCCAATCCGGGAGCCGGGGAGTCGGCGAACCGGGGAGTCGGCCAGTCGGGGAATGGGCCAACCGGGGAGTCGGCCAGTCGGGGAGTCGGGAAGTCGGCCAGTCAAGGAGTCGGGGAATCGGGAAGCTGGGGAAACGGGAGTCGGAGAGTCGGCCAGTCGGGAAATCGGAGAGCAGGCTGTCGGGGAGAGTCGAGTCGGGGAGTCGGCCAGATGGCGAATGTGTGAGTCGGTGAGTCTGGGGGTCGGCCAGTCGGGGACTCAGGGGGTCGGGGAGTCGGGGAGTCGGGAGTCGGGAAGTCGGGAGGTCGGGGAGTCGGCCAGTCGGCCAATCGGGGAGTCGGGGAGTGGGGGGAGCCAGGGGAATCTCTGTTTTTCCTTTCAACCTTGGGAATGTTTTCCACAGCAGCGAAGGAGGTGGCTAGAGCTGCTGGAGGAGGGGAGGACGGCACCCACTCCAACAAACAAACTACTGGGGGAGGCGGCCAAACTGCGTCAATCCGAGCCTGACTCCTCCACGGTGCTGAGCTCCAGCACTTGCTGCAGGATCTGAAGCTTCTACTTGCCTCAAAGACGCTGCGACAGAACGGAGCTCAAAGGACTTCGCCGGAGCAGTGGCCACATCCTGCTGTCTGGCTTCGTCTTCCGAGTCCGCGTCGGGACAAGGGCCAGACGGGCGGATGCGTCTGCAAGGGCCACGGGGGATAGCGCCCAGGCCCGCTGGCCAGACGGGGGGGGGGGGGGGGCATTCGACAGAGACGGCAGACCGCTTGGGGCGCCTGCCTTTGCCGACAACGGACCAGACCCTTTTTCTCCGAAGCGCGAGGGTTTACCGAGGCATTGCTCTCGCAGCCCCTTCTATCTTCCGTGAGAGCTGTAAGCCTCACAGGAGGTACAAATGAGAAGAAACGGCACCATCCCAGCAGTCCAGCGCGATACAGGTATGCCCATAACTTCGGATTTCGTCTATGGCAGCTCGCGTTAGCCAAGACAGGAACTGACAGCTGGCTTAGACGGCCACTTCTCGCGGCTGGCTTGCAGACAATTCGTGCACTTCCAAAAGGAGCCGTAGTGAAACCAGTCGCGCTTTTCGTTTGAGGGTCTATCTGGCTTGGGAGGACGCACACACTCAACATCGCCAGAATCCCTCAACGGCGAGAACTTGGGCAGCATATGCATGGCCAGGAGACAAAAGGCACGTGCGAATTTAATATCGCGCTGGGTCTCCTCCTCGAGATCCCTGTCTGAGGGGTGACGGGCGAGCGCTTGCTTGGCCAGCTGATTGGCGTGGTCGTTGTCAAGTCTCCAGAAGCGCTGCTCATTCGAGATGGATTCATATTCGAGCGGCTGGTGCGCTCGAACATGTGAAAGGGGGCTGAAAAGCTTGCAGTGCGCGCTTGAAACACGCGGCCTGAGTAGGCCTTTTTATCGCTCAGCTGGGCAACGCGTGGAAGCGCAACGGAGTTCACGACATTTTGGCAATCGGAAATCATCGCGCTGGGACCCTCCACTAGCTGGACCCCTGCAAGAAACGCGCGGAACTCGCCAGCCTGGGGCGTCTGGGGCACGCGGGCCCACGCAGGCCCTGAGGCTGAGGCCAAGAGCTCCTGGCCAGGGCCGTAGACCGCAACGCTCCAGGAGGCCCCTGGAAGTTTTTTTTTTTTTTTTTATCGCGCGCCTGGAACAAGAACCAGCAACACAAATAACACCTTCAAACACACCTGGCCGGGGGGGGGGGGACTGCGCCAAACTAGGTCTAGGGAGTCGCCACCCAAATGAACAGGAGGAGGGCGGCGGCCTCCAGGGCGAGGGAGGGCTCCATGAGTGACTACGAACAGCTTGTCAGAGGATAGTCAGTGAGGGACCCCAAGAGCACCTCTCCTACAAGTCCCCATCGTTCCTCGGCGAGTTTCGGGCACTTGTAAACCCCATGGGAAATCGAGTCGGTCGGGCCGCCGCAGAGCTCGCACTCGAGCGGGAACTGATATCCTCTGCTGCGGGCCTCCACACGGGTCCAAATCCCTTCACAAGAACAGCATCTCAAGAATCCTTCCTGGAGAGGGGTGAACTTGGAGGAGGACAGGTGGGAGGAGACAACGTCGTGGCAGAGCCTGCCGCGCACGAAGCTGCGCTTGCGCGCTAAATCGCGCTCGAGTCTCCTAAGGGCGACTGCGCGAAGGTGAATCCTGAGAAGAGCAGGGGAGGTGAAGAAAAGCTCGCGCACGTTGCCGAGATTATCCTGCAGACGATTGAACTCAGGCATCTCCCACCCCGGCCGCTGAAGCGCAAGAAACATACCAGTAAGGGGGCCCGAGACCCCCTCCAAGCGCGGGGGGGATGTCCAAAGGCATTTTTCCACCACCGCCTGAGGGAAGGAAGCGGCAGAGCCGCTTCGTGCGGACTGTTCACCGAGGCTCACAGCCCACGGCGCCATCAACAAACAACAGAAACCTGGGCGAGCCAAGCGGGGCACCCTTCGAGGAGCACGAGGGCAGAAAACGATCGCCGCCCAGTGGACGGCTTGATAAGGCGACCCAAACTCCGCCGAAGGGACAACCCACAGCACTCCGCCCCGTGCGAAGAGACGGGGACGGGGGCCAGCGACCCAAAGCCTACGGAGGCGCTTGCGGTTGAGAGCTCTGGCATACTTTCCCAGGCGCCTGGCGCGGCTGACCCCATCCACTTGTCTGCGCTTCGCAGGAGCATTCTTACCTCGATGCCTAAAGGAAGCACCCTGGGCATCACCCACTCCTAAAATCACGCCCGATGAAACGAGAGGCACCGAGAGTTCGAACCAAGGCGCCCTGCATCTCCAGGCCGACGGCCTTGGAGCTGCAGATCAGAATGGCCTCATCGGCCGAGAGAGTGGCACCAATGCCATAAGCTGCGCCCTGAAGGGCGGGAGCTCCTTGCACGACGCCTGCGACCACTTCGCGGTGGGTGCCTACCGCTGCAATACTGCCACTGTCGACGTAGAGCTTGAAACCCGCGTTCGGACTCCAGGCGATGGAATCAAGAGGTTCGGCACTGCTCACTCGCATCATAATGGTAGCCATACTACAACCAGCGACAACCCCGAATTGAGCGCACGAGGCACTAGTGATCATCGCCTGGAGACAAACGTGCCGCGCTGAACTATATGCGCGAATAGAGAGCCCGTTGACAGCCAAAAGGAAGTCGCGGGCTTTACATCTGACCTGGAGCCCCTGAAGTGGGAGAGTTTCGTAGTACTTGGCGAAATCCCAGAGGAGGTTACAAGGGGCCAGGCCCCGAGCAACTTCTCCGTCGGCGCGGAGAAGCTGGCGCCAGACGGCGTCTCCTGCACCTGTAAAGCTTCCAGCGGCGACATAGCTGCGAGAGCGCGCGCGCGCGCGCCCCCATGCATCCGCAATGGGCCTTCGGGCTTTCGCCCAAACTCTGCGCGGTGAGCAGGAAACACCAATGGGCCTAACTCCCACGGGAAGCTTGGGGATCAAACTCATCAGAATGATTTCACTTTGCGCCGGCAGGATACCCGAGGTTTCCATGACCAGGAAAAGAGAAAGAAGACAAGCAAGCCCTTGGTCAGAGAGCCATCCAAAGTGACGGATATGAACACCATCGGGGGCCACAGCCGATCTCTCTTTGCGCCGAAATCAAACGTTTCGAACCGCGTCCAGCTCGAGAGGCGGCAAAGGAGGAGCGGGCCCCACGCGGGCGGGGGCTGGCGGGGGCGTGGGCGAAGCCCTCCAAAGGCCATGATACCGAGTGGCTTCAAAATTCAAACTACTCTGCAGGTCGCTCACCACACGCCCGCTGTACTCCAGCACCGCACAGGGCTGCCTCGGGGCAGGAGCTTTGGCACACAAGCGAACATTTCTCTCCCCTTGGCCCACGCCTTTCAGATGCCAGGCGCGCCAGCTCCGGGAGGAAGAGTTCCGAGCATTCTTGTCGCAGGAATCCAGGGCCTGGCGGACGGTGGATCGGAAATTGCTGACCCTACAACCGAAACCCTCAGCCCGCACGTCGGCAGAGGAGAGCTAAAACAGGTCGAGAGCTTCCCGAAACAATTCTCTGTGGGGGGCGCTGCGCTGAAGGACCAGGAAGGAGACAGCAAAACCATATACAATCGCGTCACCCAACCCTTCAAGGGCCGGGTGCTGGATAGCACAGCCCAGCGCGACGATTGCCTTCCAAAGCCAACGCCTGGAAAATAAATCGGGCTACCGAGGGGGCCCGGCATCCCGCTGGTGAACCGAGGGCCAGACCGTAGCGGGGAGATCCCCTCGGACCCCTGGGTGCTGGAGTTCAACCCCCGCCGCCTCCGCAACTTCCCCCTCCGCTAAATCCGCCCAAATCTTGCAGGAGGAGGTGAGGAGAGATTGGGCGAGGCCGCCGCCCCCCTGCCAGGCTGCCTCCAGCGCCTCGCCCAGTCGGACCTGAGCAGTCTGGTAATCGGGCGGCTGCCTAACTGGTCGGATCATCCGAACCGCTGACGGGCGAGCAGGCCCGCGCAGGGCGAGCGCGCGCAGTTTGCCAAACTGCGGGAACAGAGTGTTCCGAACAGGCCAATGGGGCGAAAGATCCCCATCAGAGCGGCGGTCGAGCGTCTGGACAGCTGAGCTGAGGCCAGGGCTCACGAAAAAGTAATCGATCATCCCCATCCCTTCCGTGATAGACATGTACCCGAACGAGATGGATCTAAGATCACGCCACCCTCGCATTGCTCAGTGAAGTCTTGAACGCGTAAGTCGAGAGGCTCGTCGTTGAAATCTCCACCGATGATCCACGGAAGGCAGGAGCTGGTGGAGGCTTGCCCTGCGTCCGACAAAATGTCGGCCGGTTGCGTCGAACCCGCAACCGTCATACAAGTAGAGCGAGGTCACACAGAAGTCCACGCCACCCGGTATCCCCGCGATCCCCGAGATGACCCTCGACTCTGATGAACCCCGAGCTGGATCTTGATGTAGGCCCAGGAAGTCCCGAACGAAGACAGCAACTCCGCCCTTACTGCCCGCCCCAACACCTGGAGCCGCCAGGCCCCAGATAGCTCGCCAGCCATGCCTGGTGGACCAAGCACTCGCTTGATGAATCCCCCCCACCCAGGACATGGCGCTCTTGTATCAAAACTACGTGGACCGTCGTACTCTGAAGGTACTTCTGCCCCGTACCTCACCCCGAAACGCTGGCCGCTTCAAAACTCAGGACGAGAAGAGACCTGGGCCTCTGGACAAGCGGAGGGGGGGGGCCAGGGGAAGAGGTGGAGGGGCCCTGGACCCGGCCCCGGCCAGTCGAGCAACAGTGGCCGAGGAGATTCTCAACGCGGATATTAAGCCAGGTGAGCCGAGACCAAAAAGATTTCACGGTGGGCCGCGCGAGGCCGTCCGTGAAAGTGAAACCTGGGAAATTGTGCCGCCCCCCCCCCCCCAGGCAGCGGCCTTCGGATCCGCCTTGTCGCCGCCTTTGGGGGGGCCCTCCTTCTTAGACTTGATGATGGCTGCGGCTGCCTCCCGCGCGGCACGCCTTGCCTACTCACTGTCGGGGCCAGGCGCGTCGATGGCAGCAGCAGCGGGCGAGGCCGCGGCGGCAGGCCCCCCACTGCCAGCAGCTCCAGGCGAGGGGGCGGCTTCAGCGGCGTGCTCACTGGGAGGGGCTGGCCCACCAGGTGCGGCAGCTCCAGCGCCAGGTTGCGCACCGAATTCACCACCTTCGCCTTGTTCCGCGCGGCGTTTCTTGGCATAGCCTCCAAGGAGGAGGGCGTGCCCCTGCTTGGCCGTCTTGAGCTTGGCAGCCGCCTCTGAGAACAGGGTGCCGACGGCCTTCCTGATCTCAGCCTGGAAGTGGTCGAGGCGATTCTTCGCCTCCTTCTGAATACTTTCGTCGACGTCGTACTCACTGAGGTCCGCGGCGAGCGGGCCCAGAGAGACAGGTAGTTCTGCGACGGCACCTGAGAGAATGTCGTCGATGCTGACGGCACCAGGGGCTGCTCCGCCAGTCCGCTCGTCGAGGGCCCTGACGAGGCGAGTGCGTTCGGCTTCAGCTGCGCCCAGTTCATCTGGCACCTTTTCCACTCAAGCGAACTGAGTGTCGATATGTTCCTTGAGCTTCTGGCGGTGGGTGACAGCCTTCGAGAGCTTGTTTTCCAAGGAGCGGACCTGGTTGAAGGCGTTGGACACCTGCTGCTGAAGGGTAGGAGTCTGAGCGACAGCTGAAGCCTGAGCCTTTCGCTGCTCCAGCACTTTCTGGTAGCCTTTAGCATTCTCGGTGTCGCCGATTTCTGTTAGAAAATCAATCGTCTGCTGGATGTCCGGCAGGGGGACATCGTTCGCCAGCTCGGGTAGTAGCACTTGGTCGTTGTTGGACAGGAACTGGGGGCCAGGCCGAACGGGAAGTCCACCACCGCCACCACCAGGAGCACCAGGAGCGCCCTGAGGAGGAGGCGGAGGCAGCACGCCGCATTGCCAGACTTGCCCCTGCCAGCCGCCCCCCCCCCCAGCCGCGGGGCGAGGGCCCGCCCACGCCTGCTGGCCCCATCCATTGCTTGGCAGGGGCCTGCCCGGCCTTGGGGCGGCCCTCCAGCTCATTGGCCGCGGGGGGGATGACCTTGGTCACCAGCGGGGTCCTGCCGCGCAGCGCGACAATGCTTGCAGCGCCACCACCGCGCCAGGTTACGTTTACATCCACCCTGCTGGCACGCCCAGCGCCCTTGGCCGTCTGCTGGAGGCGGCGCCATGGCTGGGAGAAGAAGCAAGTGATTATGCCCCTCCGTTAACCACCTGAGTGGCGGCTCTCAAGCGACCACAATATCTTGGTACGCCCGAGGGAAATGGACGAGGTTGCCGAGAGCAAATTCGAGCCAAAACGCTTGAATGAATCAAAAGAATCGGCCACCCAGAGAGTCGGGGAGTCGGCCAGTCGGAGATTCGGGAAGTCGGCCAGTCAAAGAGTCGGGGGGTCGGGGAGTCGGGGAGTCGGCCAGTCGGAGAGTCGGTGAATCGGCCAGTCGGAGAGTCGGCCAATCGGTGAATCGGCCAGTCGGATTGTCGGCCAATCCGGGAGTCGGCAAGTCGGCCAGTCGGGGAGTCGGGGAGTCGGTGAATCGGTGAATCGGAAAGTCGGGGAATCGGCCAGTCGGGGAATCGGCCAGTCGGGGAGCCGGGGAGTCGGGGAATCGGGGAGTCGGGGGGTCGGCCAGTCGGGGAGTCGGCCAATCGGAGAGTCGGGGAGTCAGGAGTTTGCCAGTCGGGGAGTCAGCCAGTCAGGGGAGTCGGGGAGTCGGCCAGTCGGGGAAGCGGCCAATCGGGTAATCGGGAAGTCGGGAAACGGCCAGTCGGGGAGTCAAAGAGCCGGGGAGTCGGCCAGTCGGGGGAGTCAGGGAGTCGGCCAATCGGGAAGTCGGGAAATCGGTGAGTCGGGGAGTCACGGGAGTCGGAGAGTCGGGAAGTCGGGAGTCGGGGAATCGGGGAGTCGGCCAGTCGGCCAGTCGGGGAGTCGTGGAGAGTCGAAAAGTCGGGGGGTCGGTGAATCAGCCAGTCGAAGAGTTGGGGAGTCGGCAGGTCGGGGAGTCAGGGAGGCGGCCAATCAGGGGAGTCGTTGAGTCGGGGAGTCGGGGAAACTGCGGTGAATCGGTGAATCGGGGAGTCGGGGAATGTTGTGGATCGGCAAGTCGGGGAGTCGGGGAGTCGGTCAGTCGGCCAGACGGTGAGTCAAAGAATCGGGGAGTCGGCCAGTCGGGGAGTCGGGGAGCCGGGGATTCTGAGAGTCGACCAGTCGGGGGGTCGGCCAATGGGGAAATCGGCCAGTCGGGGAGTCGGGGAGTCGGCCAGTCTAGGAATCTGCGCGTCGGGGAGTCGACCAGTCGGGGAGTCAAAGAGTCAGGGGAATCGGCCAGTCGGGGAGTCGGTGAATCGGCCGAACGAAGAGACGGCCAGTCGGGGAGTCGGGGAATCGGCCAGTCGGGGGGTCGGGGGGTCAGGTGAATCGGCTAATCGGGGAGTCGGCCAGTCGGGGAGTCGGCCAGTCGGGGAGTCGGGGAGTCGGGAGTCGGCCAATCGGGGAGTCGGAGAATCGGGAAGTCGGCCAGTCGGGAAGTCGGCCAATCGGGGAGTCACCCAGTCGGGGAGTCGGGGAATCGGCCAGTCGGTGAGTCGGGGAGTCGGGAAACCGGGGAGTCGGGGAGTCGGCCAGTCGGGGAGTCGGGGAGTCGGGGAGTCGGCCAGTCGGGAAGTCGGCCAGTTGGCCAGTCGGGGAGTCGGGGAATCGGCCAATCGGGGAATCGGCCAGCCAGAGAATTGGAGAGTCGGGGAGTCGGCCAGTCGGGAAGTCGGGTACTCGGCCAGTCGGGGAGTCGGCCAGTCGGTGAGTCGGTGAGTCGGAGAATCGGCCATTCGGGAAATCGGGGGGTCGGGGAGTCGGCCAGTCGGGGAGTCGGGAAGTCGGGGGGTTCATTGCGATACCACAAAAGTTGCCCAAATGGTCTCGGGGGGGGACTCTGGCTTGTCTCCGGGGCCGCCTGGTGACTCTGGAGCGCCCGCGTGGGCTCGAAGCCTTGTGGGGCCCCTCTTCGGGCACGCTTGGGCCAATCAACGACCACCCAAAAGCCTCAGATGCTCGTCGGAAGCGAAAAAGCCTGCTCTTCAAGAACTAATGGGTTTCCATTGGTTGTGCACTAATCCCACCAGCCCGCTGGGCGTAGGTGGTGGTCTAGGGCATTTCCTCTTACAACCCCCTTCCTCCCCTTCGGAGAGGGGTTGCCCCTCCCCCCACCCCCTCCCCTGGACCTGAACGGGGGGGTTCGCGAGCGGTCAGAGCTTCCAAGATGGCCCAAGACGGCTCCAAGAGGGGCCCAGAGAGCCCAAGATGAAATCCAACATGGTTCGTGATAGCGCAAGATGCCTCAATATGGTTTCCAAGATGCTGCCAGAGGCTCCGAAACCGCCCCAAGATGGTTCCAAGGGCCATCAAGGACCTCCAAGGAGGCCTCCGAAAAAGCCAAAATCCTTCAAACACCTAAGGACACACCAATAATGTTTGCCTTCTCGCCTTCCCGCTTCCGATGGCCATCCGAGGCCTCAAAATGATTCCAAGGTGGCCCAAGGGGGGCCCAAAAAAAACCCAAGAGAACCCAAAGACGGCCCCAAGAGCGCCCGAAAGCCCTGCAAGATCGCCCCAGGAGTGGTCCAGGAGGCTTATTGTGGGGTTCCCGAAAGGGGTGGCGTAATTACGAACCCCTTTTTTTGATCGATCTCTTCCTAGATGGCCCCGAGAGCGCCTCTAAATCCTCCCAGGAGCGCCCCAGGAGGGCCCCAAGAAGCACCCAGACGGCCCCAAGAGGCGCCCACAACGCTTCCAAGAGGCCCCCAAGAGACCCCCCAAAGGCCTCAAGAGGATCCTCGAGGCACCCAGAATGCCCCCCAACCGCTCCAAGAGGTCCCCAAAACAAACACCAGCAGCACAGCATCCCCACCAACAACAAAAACAACGGCACCAGCAGCAGCACCAGCAGCAAAACCAACAGCGCGCACCACCACCACCGCCACCAGCAGCACCAGCAGCAGCAGCAACAGCACCAACAGCAGCACCCGTGCCATTCGCTACCAGAAATCTCTCAAGTCACCGTCGTTCCCCACGCTGTTTCACTATGTGCGTTTCTTCCTCCCTTTTCCCGTCAGCCCTCCTGGGCACTGGATGGGCTGGTGGAGATACTTGTTGATCGCAACCGCGCCGAGACAAGTCGGGCGGCGTCCAAGGGCGCAACAAACTAAGCAGCGGCCCTAAATTACGCACAGCGGGGGGGCAGGACAGAGGGAGGACGGCGGGGGGAGGAACAAACAGGAGGCGGGCCTCGCTGTCGCTCAGAGGAGGAATCGACCAGAAAGACCACCCAGGCGAGCTGCAACACTAAAGTGGCGAAATTCAGGTTGTACGACACCTCGAGCATGCGGGATTTGAAAACCACCGGCAGACGTCACCACGAAATCCAGCGCCAAGACCGTGGTGCCGCGGATGCAAATGGCGGCCGTGTCGCGCGCCCCGGTAGGCATGCTGGTGGGGATACTTTGTTAATCAACGGCCGCGGGCGAGCGCGCCGGCGGCGAGCCCACTCAAAGCGGGGCGCGCAGCGACGAATTAAACTAAAGCGACGGAGGGTGGCCACACGCCACACCTACAGCGGCCAACCGGGACCTCACGCAGCAGCTCAACGGCGGACCGGCGAGTAAGGGGGGCAGCTGAAACTGAGTCGTACTGCCAGCGCGCAAGTATGCATAGCGTCGGAAGCACCAGGAAGCCGGGACACACGACGACCCGGGTCAGAAGCCGAAATTAATGCATGGACGCAACCCCGGACAACTGCGTGAGTACCAGGGTGGCCCAAAGGACCGTCGGTCAAGGTCGAATTGGTGCCGAAACGAGGCGAGAGCGCTGGCAGGCTGCGAGATCCCAGGGTGGCCGTAGCCGCACACTCCCAAGGCAAAAGAACGCACGAGCGCGGGAAGCAGCAAAGCTACCGCGCAGCCAAAAAGGGCGCGGGTCACCACGGACCAGCGCGTGAAGTGGCGCCAGGATGGCTCACCACGAGCCCTGAACAGGGCCGCGAGCCCGAAGTCAGCACACCGAAGGTGGCGACAGGCGGGCGAAGGCACCACGGGGAAGACCCGGGCCTGAGACCAGGGAATCGACCGCACGTGGTGGGGGCACAAAAGCCAAAGCGGTGTCAGGGACGGCCGACGGCCCCGTGGAGTGAAAGAGAAACCGCGACTTGAGCGGCAAAGCGAAGGCCAGTACGGTGGGGGACGACACCACCGACCGACGGGGGCTGGTGGGGATACTTTTTTCGGTCGCGGCCGCCAGCGAGCGCGCAGGCGGCGACAGAAGTGTCCGGGCCGACGGGCAAACCTAATTAGCTGCTGGGCGCGCCTCAAACTAGCCGGGCCAGCTCGCAAGGCGACAGCTGGGGCAGCAGGGCGGGGGCTGGCTGGCCGATCTGGCACCCAGGGAAGCTCGAGCATCGTGCAGCCCAGGCAAAATGCCAGGGAATTCGATGTTACGCGCTGCGGCGTCAGACCACGCAGGTGGAACGAGTTGCTCCCAGACACTGCAGTGGGGAAAGGCAAGGTGCACAATGGTCCTGCCGCCAGGGGGGCGCCAAGGGCCAGGGCCGTGCGACGGCGTAGACCTGCCTGGGCTCGGCTGGGACGGAACGAGGATGGAAGCACAGCGTCCGACGGAAGGCTGGACCACTCCGAGACGCCATGCACGTACCCAGGGGAACATACCAGTCCCGAGCGGGGCAACGGACCGGCCCGAAGGCGATGGTGCCTGTGGGCCCGGCCCATGGCCACACGGTGGCTGGTGGGGATACGCGAAG